TTAGAGCTCATTTGCCGATAGGTCTCAACAGAGGAAGGTTGTGAGGTCAGTGTTGTTAGAGCTCATGTGTCCCTAGGTCTCAACAGATGAAGGTTGTGAGGTCAGTGCTGTTAGAGCTCATGTGTCCCTAGGTCTCAACAGATGAAGGTTGTGAGGTCAGTGCTGTTAGAGCTCATGTGCCTCTAGGTCTCAACAGAGGAAGGTTGTGAGGTCAGTGCTGTTAGAGCTCATTTGCCGCTACGTCTCAACAGAGGAAGGTTGTGAGGTCAGTGCTGTTAGAGCTCATGTGCCGCTAGGTCTCAACAGAGGAAGGTTGTGAGGTCAGTGTTGTTAGAGATAATATGCTCCACAGAAGAACCGTAATTGTCAACACGGCGATAACTTGCGTACGCTCTCGTGACGTGCAGAAAACCATGAATAGACGGATTGCATTAAGGCACGTTGACAAAGATAAACCAAATTGAAGTTTATGGATTTATAAACACTTGGGAATAAACCAAGCTAAACCAAGGCTTAAAGTAAGCAAATACCAGTAGATCCCACACACAGCGTAAGATAAAGCTAACGGGCAAATAGTGACAAGTTCGCAACTCTTGTTATAACCAGGCAGTACTATTGTACAACTGACCCGATCTGATACAGGTGTACAATTGCCATAACGCTCATCCAACTAGGTTTCAAGAACATCGACTGAAATCGCCTGTTAAGTAATCAGCTTCTGGCTTCACAGCTGGGCCCACTTGCACAAAGCGATCTTAGACAGAAACCCCAGCCTTGATCTTGTGTCGGGGACCGACGGTCGTCGATCATCCATATAATGTATTTTATAAACAACATATCAAATTATTTTTAACCTCTGCAGTGTTTAAATGTCAAACAGGTTTTTAAAAAAAGATTTTGCACTAAATTTGAACAATGTATATTTAGAACACACGTAAAAGGCAACTCAGCCTAAACAAAATATTTTCATCAGGACCCGTTTTTAAAACAGTTTCCTGACAGCAAACTCCTGCAGTTTCAAACTTACCTGAAAAACATATTAAACAGACTATTGTTTATATGGCATTACAATTTGAATAATGAAACTTCAGTCATAAACGTGTTTTAAATAACACAAAGTTTAACTGTGAACTTAAATTCAGATCTTAGTTCTCACTACCGCTAAACAAAGATCTGTGGACATCCCATTACTGGTCACGTCAGACCTACCTCACGTGAACTTTGACCAACCAATGAAATGACCAATCAGAGGGCAGCTTTCTCGTGCTTATTTTGATAAATTCTCGATTACAAGTTTGAAACCTGATCAAAAGAGCATTCTTGAATGGCTAACGGATGGCCTAGATTGTATGGATTCAGTCATTAAAGCCGTAACTATCGTTCGGAATACCCCGTGTTAAAGTTTTCGAGGTTGCATGATTAGAAATCACATTCCGACTGTCACATTCTTAATCTGGTAAGCGACGCTCTGATAAGTCAGATGAAAGGTCGTTCTGACGTGACCCGTAATGGGATGTCCTCAGATATTTGTTTAGCGGCAACGAGAACTTAAGTCTGATTTTGATGAGATTGACCTGTGAATTGCCGAGGCAAATATCCCTCCCTTTCTATACTGTTTGAAAATGCCAATAGGATCTTCCCTGATTATTAAGCTTACCGCTAGGGACAATTAGTTTCCTTTCTAAATCTAGCACGTTACCGGGAATATTTCAAAGTCGCTGACATCTTATCTCAAACGTTACATCCTGTTCGCCAAGTACACCACTTGGTACATTAGATTATTTTGATCATGGGGACAAAAAAACATCATTAAGACACAGAAGTGGCAAAAACAAGCATTTTCCTTCTTTTCTTCTTTCAAACAGAGGAAACATCGTTTGGAGCAACTATCGCCACACTGTGTTATAGTGTGGGAGGGGGCACGGGTGGCCCAGTCGTGATTCACTGTTCAGAGTTGCGTCCCTTGGGCACGCCAGAAACCGATGATTGTGGGTTCGAATTCCGGTTCGCCCCGATTATCTTTCTAGGTTTGTCAGCACCATACCCGTTTGTCAGTACAACGTCCGAGACCTGCAACACTTCGGGCTTTCCTCCCACACCGTGATATAACTGGAATAGTGTTAAAAGCGGCGTTAAACCAAACTCACTCACTCACTCACTCACTCACTCACTCTAAAGGGAAATGAATCGTATAACACAATACTCTGTGTAGAGAACACACACTGCACGAATATGATCAATTACTACTGGCGTTGAGTGCATGTCATATCCGTAGTGTGGAGGTGCCATTTATTGTTTAGTCCAAATACCGACCATAGTCCCCGGGCCATAGTTTACAAATATGACAGTACAATTCTGTTTAACAGCATTGCGTGGTGGGGAAACATTGACAAGTGATTAGGTTTGATTTGAAGATATTTAAAATTTGAACTTTTGAAAATTTGGATTAAGGAAGAAATACCGTTATATTTACTGTGTATACAATCAGTAAAAATGGAACTCATTTACAATTTTATTCAAAGTACGCATAACATGTGTTTTTCTGTCAATACTTATATAGGGTCCATTCCGGTTCGTCCAGATTATGTTTGCAGTGTTGCCAGCATCAAACCGTGCTCGTGGATTTCACAGAGTGGTGAACGTCGGATACATGCTTCACTCTGGGTCTGCCAGGCACACGCCATGATGAAGCAGGAATACTGTTCAAAGCGCCGTTTATCCCAAATCACTGACCCAGATAGATAAGATTGTGAGCAACATTCGCAATTTTAACTCAATAGTAACAACTGTTTTGTAAAATTATGTTTTTAAATACTGAAGTACTATCATCAGAAAGTTACAAAAACATTACTAAAGGGCTGTGTCCTAATTGTACGAGTCTCACCGGCAACCTTTCGGGTTATATAAATTGGGATTTTGTATGGAGACTGGATATTCCTTCAGCTACAGCCAATATTATTTGTTAAAACTGAAAACTAATATTATTTTGTGGCAGACATTTCAAACATTTTCTAGGCCATTTTGTCTCGATAAAATAACTATAAAATGGCCCTTCAGTGTCCTAAGCTTTTATAAGGTCGCGGTCATAAACATCTGTTGTTTCTGTAGTTTGTAATGTGAATATCGTGGCGGAACAGGCATCAGCTGTGGAAGAGTTGCACTGATTGAAGCGCTCATAAAATGTAGACTTACCGCTATGTTTATCAGTGCAGTATACTTTTATCATCTGTCAACAAAATGTAAACCCAGTCAATATGACAGATTTTTCGAATACAGAAAAAATCATTTGAACGTGACACGTATGGACGTCTTTGAGGCGTTAGGTGTTTTAATTCTGAATCGAACAGTAAGAATTATTTCACGTCAATTATTCATTCATGACAGCTTAAACCTTCATGTATAAAGTGAGTACATATTGTGGGTAGATATGGCATGCATTTGCTGTTATCTATCACGTATTTCTACGCGTGGGAAGCATGCCAATTTTAGGGTCACCTGACTTGTGGCGACATAGGGATTCCGGGTTAGAATCGGTCCCCAGGAACCTATGCTGGTCATAAAAGGCGACCAAATTGACTTCGTGTCAACGTACTCCGACAGGGAGGATTATTGCTCACAATATCAATTACTGGATTATCTGATGAAAACTCGATTACTTCCAGACATCCGCCATATATCTGGAATATTGCGGAGTGCGGCGTAAAACAAGAAACACAAACAGCACTAACCGAATAGTGACTTTAATCAGATGTCGAGTGTTACCGAGTGTCATCAGTATTCTAATTATTCCCCATAATTCCCCTTTATTATGCTCCAGCATCATAACCCTACCTGTGGGTTTCATTAAACTGGCAAAAAAGGGCAGTGGGGACAGCCTAGTGGTTAAAGCGTTGGCTCGTCACGCCGAAGACCCTGGTTCGATTCCCCACATGGGTACAGTGTGAAATTTTTCATTTTCCAGTGTCCCCTGTCGTGATATTGTTTGTACAGTAGACTACGGTTATAACAAACTCGAGGGGACCACTTATTTTAGTTCGTAACAACCGTAGATCGTTATAAGCATACATACAGCATATATACAACAAATAGTCGGGACTAAAAATAAGTTCGTTATATCCGTCAGTTCGTTATAAGAATGTTCGTTATAAACGTACATGTAGTTTACTGTATATTGCTAAAAGCTAAAATCATACTCACTCACTCACTCAAACAGGCAAACGTCCACGATGTACGTGACTTTACTTGTCTCTTTGTATTTCTCCCACACGGAGCTGACATGACTTACAACTGAAATGCTGTTTCAAGTTCGAACTCACTCGGGGCCACGGGTGGCCCAGTCGTCTAAGGCGCCGCGATTCGCTGTGCAGAGTTGCGTCCCCTGGACACGCCAGAAACCTAAGCTTGTGGGTTCGAATCCCGGTTCACCCCGATTATGTTTCTAGGTTTGTCAGCACCATACCCGTGCACGAATCGTGGGTTTCACCGAAGTGGTAAACGTCTGAGACCTGCATCACTTCGGGCTTTCCTCCCACATTATGTTGACACGCCGTGATATAACTGGAATCATGTTAAAAGCTGCGTTAAACCCAACTCACTCACTCACACACGAAATGAGCTCAATATAACATAAAGGGCTACTGAGTAAGGGAGGCGTTACTGAAGTAAACTCACCAGTTCTATAATCACTGTTGGGGCGGTCGGGTAGCCTAGTGGTTAAAGCGTACGCTCGTCACGCCGAAGACCCGGGTTGGATTCCCGACATGGGTACAATGTGTGAAGCCCATTTCTGGTGTCCCCCGCCGTGATATTGCTGGAATATTGCTAAAAGCGGCGTAAAACCATACTCTCTCACTCACTTCTGAGTAAGGGAGGCGCTACTGAAGTAAACTCGCCAGTTTTATAATCACTGTTGTCCTCCGCTGAAAGCGCCTTAAAGCCTCACTTACTCACTCACAGACAAATAATTAAAAGTATTTAGCTAATAAAGAACTCAAACACAATTTGACAAAATAATTCTTTGTTTGTTTCTTTACATATATACAATAATGGCAATAATAAAATATACCAACAAAACATAAGATATATTACACTTCCTGCCATGATATTATGACCATGATCAACAAAAGCATGTGCTTCTCGTCTCAGCTAGTCACGAGGAAATATGTACATGTATAAGATCAATCAATAGAAAAAAGGTTATCACTCCCATTCACACAATGTCGATTCTGAGTAAAATAATCATAATGAATTTTAACGAATATGACTCTAAATACCAATTCAAAGTACTTTCGCACGAAGCAAACCAAACTACCACCAAACCCCTTGCACCTATAACAATGTCAACTATTGTCCCGGGGGAGCGAAGTCAGACAAACAATGACATTGACATTACTCGCATGGCGTATTTGTTCCTTGGCTTATCCATAAACCGACCCAGATTTTAAAAATAATAAAATAAAATAAAACATTGGAGACATTTTTAAAAGAAAGCCAAAAGGAATAAGAAACCATCTTATTTGTCATTCACAAATATTTTTAACTCACGTTTCTATATTTATCGTGATCAACAATACTTCATATAATGTTCTTAAATTGAGTTATAATATATATTTCGATAACTGACCCTATGATCTTCCGTAAACCAATTAATTAAATACTTCAGGCATGTTTGAGTAATATTTAATCAATGACTAGTCCATGTAACTTAAAATCTCAAAATATTTTATTTCTTGTTGTTTTAAACACGGGACTCTCACAGACTGATATTCAGAGGCAAGTGTACGGCTATATCATCTCAAATGATCTGCAGGATACATAAGACAACAGTGAAACCCCTTCAATCCGGACTGTGCCGTTCCCGGCCAAAATGCCCGGGTTAACATATATCCTGATAAACGAATCATGGTTATGGAGTTGTGTCCCTTTGCGTATGCAAAGACGTTCCAAACACTATCGCCCCGAAGGCAGTTTCCGGATGAACGAGGCTCCACTGTATCAAGTATATTTAATACTCCTTCTGTTGGGATGATATGTTGTCATACCCACACGGTAGCAGCAGCACCTCGTATATCAAACACAACATACAATTCAGACAGCTTGGTCCATCAGTTACGTTGAAGCGATGTGGATATTGGTTTAAATATGTATGGTATGAATATACGAAACAACAGCTCATTCACTATATGAATATAATTTCATAACTACTATATTTGATAATACTGGAATGAACGGTTGAGCATTCAATGAACGTAGCTTTAACGGTAAATATGAACGGAATAACAGTAATTATATATCCGTTCTGAGAACAGTTAATATATTTCGAAATGTGATATTAGGTAATTAATTATATTGAGACAAGACAAAACGTCTATATGTCACTGTTTTTTTCAGGAAATATAACAAACAAAGAACACCTTCCCTCCGGCAATGCTGTTATAAACGTGGTTGAATTGTGTAACCTTGTATAATACCGTTCAGTAATGCGAAATGAGTTATGGAAACGTTAAGCTACACATTCGTGGCATTCGTATTCTCTTTGATGAGTTTGATGAAATGTTGGTGCATACAGCATGATGATCACATGCAAAACATACTCGTCTGATGATACTGTTAATACTTGAAAATATGATACTGGCTCTTTGATGAGACTAGAGCCGTGGTTGTCATTGGCCATATGATATTCGTGACTTCAAGCACTGTCTGGACCTTGGTGAAGCACTTCCAGGAGTTCTTCCACAGCGGGATTGCCAGGCCATGGACGTATTCGGAACCACTTTCTGGGAAATCAGTGCTCCTGATATGTCCTACAGTTGATCGTCTGTACAGAAATAAACCGTAAGTGATTCCATGACATTTGATTGGCTAAAACGAAATACAATTTTGCGTTAATGTTGCAAAGCTAGGAACGAAAAGGCCGCGCCAACTAGCGGTCTGGTGTTTCCAGATTGGCTGATAATAAAGTGGGCGGGGCTTGTTGCATCGTGCTGAAGGAATCACCGATTTCGTTTAATTAATTTTGTGTTAATGATTAAATAATCAATCTATTAAGGTATTGTTGGTGACATATTTATTTATAAGAATTGACTTCAATAAATGATTGCGTTTATGGAGGTATAAACTTAAAAACCGGTGTGCTACGTCTGCTTACACAGTGTACATACCGGTACATACCGGTTGAATCCAGTTTGGAGACAAGTATGGGTTACTGGCCATAGAGGTCTCTTGTTATTGAATCCAACAGGGAAACAAGTATGAGATGCTGGGTACATAGTCTGTCCCTGAATTCCCACAGCGAGACAGGCAGGGGATACTGGGGACCTATTCTCTCCCTGAATTCCCACAGCGAGACAGGCAGGGGATGCTGGGTACATATTCTGTCCCTGAATTCCCACAGCGAGACAGGCAGGGGATGCTGGGTACATATTCTGTCCCTGAATTCCAACAGTGGAAACAGGCAGGAGATGCTGGGTACATAGTCTGTCCCCAAATATGGAGATATAAATTCACTGATTTGACAATCAGTACATACCTCCAACAGCCTTCGGAGACACCTGTGGCCTCTTTATTGTATACTGGAAACAAAAGGTGCATTGATAACAATATATGGTATTACTACACAAACATCACTGGATCGACAAGAGGAAACTATTTATTTACGATAGAATTATAAAATGTAATAAACATTCCTGGACTCGAAATGCATACCGAAGGATGAATATATGACCTTAATAGAATGACACAGTGAGTCATAGTTGTGACGTTTATACAAGATTGTTTCTGGTTAGTAATAAGGATGGCCATTTCATTGAGGGTTGGGAAGAATTTATTATGTTTAACCCTGGAATTACTGCACAGAACAAACGGCTTGTCTCGTTAAACGGTGGATCAAAAAACATTGGTCAAGTGAGTGAGTGAGTATGGTTTTTTCGCCGCTTTTAGCAATATTCCAGCAATATCACGGAGGTGACACCAGAAATGGGCTTCACACATTTTACCCATGTCGGGAATCGAACACGGGTCTTCGGCGTGACATTCTACTCCTGAGGTCACACGTGACGATTTGACATAACGAGATAAAAAGTAAATGTAAAACATCAACGCCATAGACAAACTATATACATAAGTAGTCTCGATTATCCGCCGAAACTCATTCCACTGAACATAAAAGGCAAAGTTGCGGTGAGTCTTAAATGAATTGATCACTCAAAATCAGTGATGAAAAGGGTAAGCATGTCGTAAATTTAAGAGAGACTATTGTGTGTGACATTTATAATCTCACGAAGGTAACTCAAAAAACGGATAGAGTAAATTGTGGGAGACTTGTATTAGCTTTTCAAGACGTTGAGTGGCCAATCAGATGGATGTTGAGTGAGGATAACGTTGTCAGGACAACGGAATGGCATCAACGTCCGCAATACTCACACTCCTGTCGGTGTCGATGTTACTGAAACCCGACTTGAAGGTCTTCTCGGCTCTGTACTGCTTCTCCATGGCGGCGTTGGCCTCAGGCGAATGCAGCCATGACCTGTTGTCTGACTGGTAGAAGTACGGGTCGTAGCTATCAGGTTGGTAACCCTGGAGACATGAGATGGGGGTCATGCATAATGTAACTGTATTGTTAACTTGAAAAACATACAAGTCATCCATTGTATGTCTGATGTTCAGTCATATACTAAGCGTTTCCAGGTCTGTAACTTCGTTTTGTTTGCTAATATTGCTATCCGCCGTTGTTGGATTGCTCCCCGAAGTCCGTTGCATTATGGGAACAATAAGGGGGGATAATTCGTTAAGGGAGGTAACAACTCTTATTTAACAGGGCCAAACGGACTAGGTCGCCCTTAGGCTATACTTCCAACAGCAGCGTTTGTCAGGGCTATTAACAAACGCACCAGACATATGCATTGGCAGATAAAGCGGGAATAAAAAGAGGATTTCATGTGTCGAGTGAAATATCTATTTTTCAAATCACGCGATGAGAGAAGCATGATATACACGAGACACATGAAATATCCTATTTATTTTCTACTTTTTGCGTAGCTGTCTACCGGAAAAATAAATTATTTCGTTACAAATGTAAAACCTTGAAACGTAAATTCTCCCTACCTAACACACAGGACGATTCACCACCTATTGTATTTGCGACTAGAAAAGTAGTTTTGTGTTTGCAAAATCTTAAAAAATATAAACAAAAGTAACATTCACAGTCATCCATATAGATATGATTATATACAGAATCAACACTTATAACAAAAACCATTCTTGAAAACTACGAGACCCCTGTTGGAAGCGAAAGAATACACGCTGGTCGAGTAACAAAAATGGGCTTTGCGAAACGAACAGTCTCGATTAACGAGTTAAATGAGAAATTTACAGTTTATAACTTATAAAAAGGAAGTCAACAGTTTTTGTACGGGCAAGACACTTACATGTACGATAAAGGGACACAATTTAAGGGGAGCTAAGTCTTGTATGACAATATTTCCATCAAAGTATTATGTTCACTGCAGTTCAACTTTGGACAACCCTGTCTTTCGCCGTGCTTTGGTTACTGGTGGCCTATAGCCCGTGTTTAAACAGTTATAAATAATATTGTTGGCAAATTTGTTTTTAAATATAACTTTGTATTCATGACTCACGTGTGCATACATCAACTTGTTCTCGTCGCTATATGGCTGAAATAATGCCGATGAGACGTCAAATGTTACCTCACTCACTCACACACTTGATGGCGGGTTAATGAGAGTGAACGAGATGACAATTCCATTACCTCGTTGCTGTGCGCCATGTTGGAATACTCTGACTTGAAGCGGGGGTTCACCAGGGATCTGCGTTGACTGAAATCTTGCAGTGAAATATCGTGTCCCCCTTCGGAGTAGCCGTCAAGTCTGGAGACAAGAAAATTCTTCATAACAGTTTGACAAAACAGATGTATACTACTCAAAAGAAGTTAAAGAACATCCGAGTGTTTCATATTGCTACAGTTACTCTGCCATGGCATGCCAGATTAACTATAGAATATGAAAACGTCGGGCGGCCTTTAGTTCCTCTGAGAAGCATATGTTTGAGACTTGGACGAGCATATTTATTCAAGGAACTTTTGTGTGATGCTAGAATGCATCATGATGTCTTTTGTTGAGGGTATAATTTGTGTATACATTGAAAATATAACATGTATATATCACAAGAGTTATTTTCTTTTTTTTTGTTATTTACATACGTTTTGCTATAAATGTAACTTGCTTCTTAATTCTTTACATGTTATATTATTTTACAATTATTGTATCAATACTGTTTTATCACATTGTAACTGTAATTGTTGACAAAAGGATCTTTACGTTACGTCTTGAAGTTCTCTTAATGTGGTCGAGCTTCTACAAAGTATCAATGGACAGAATTTACAATACACTGTAATAATGTTCATTTTCTTATTTTACTTTTAGTATTTTCTTTAAAGCTGGTATCCTCAAAGTGATAAATGTGTTGGTACGCCATTGTTATCAGGCGAGGTATAATCCTTACAATGACCGCTCAGTCTTTGGCGCCCTTCTTTTTCTGATACAGCAACAGATGACGGCGACAGCGAGGATGAGGATGATGCCTCCGCCGACGCTGCACGTAATGACCAGTATGTACACCCAGTTCATGACTTTGGTCAGACAGTCGTCACCACTGTAGTCGTACAAGCCGTCACTGGAGCACCTGGGAAAAACATGAGTTGACTGGGTGAGTCCGTGGACATAATCATTACAGTATCATTGCTAAATTAATAAAACTTCCACTTCCATTCAAAACAACAAGCTCACGCAAAGCGAGTATCAATTGTGAGTTCATATCTTCGACCAATACTTGTATGAATGGGGGGCACGGGTGGCCCAGTCGTCTTAGGCGCCGCGATTCGCTGTGCAGAGTTGCGTCCCCTGGACACGGCAGAAACCTATGATTGTGGGTTCGAATCCCGGTTCACCCCGATTATGTTTCTAGGTTTGTCAGCACCATACCTGTGCTCGTGGGTTTCCCCGAAGTGGTAAACGTCAGACCTGCATCACATCGGGCTTTCTTCCCACATTAAGCTGACACGCCGTGATATAACTGGAATACTGTTAAAAGCGGCGTTGAACCCAACTCACTTGTATGAATGTATATCCACGCTTGCGAATTGTTATTCTGCAGTGGTTTAATAGTGTTTGGTGTACTTACTGGCATTTTGCTTGAATGGAACTCTCATCTATACCAACAACTTGACATTCCCCATGATCCCCACACTTGAGAAATTCACAGCGATGGTAACACAATTGCTTGGTTTTATTACATATCTGATTGAAAGCACAGATATCCTGTCCAACTGCTCCGCAAAGATTCCCCACATCCTCCGCAACTGCAACATAGTTGAAAATGCATTCGTTGTATTTATCTTTGTCTGTTTGTTTAGGTCTGTTGTGTCAACATACAATCATGTTCTGCTTCAAGGAAATTATACGTTTTCTAAAAATGAGTAAAAAAAAATGCGACTGTGAAATAAACTACTCAACATTAGTTTTGCTTAGGACCACACCTTAGGCTGACGATGACTATTTTGGACCTTAGCAAATGTTGAGTAGTATAGAAAACTATTCATTTCTCACTCCTTGTCAGCAATTCGGTCACGGAAAGGCGTTGGCATCTATGCTTAAGGATCGTGTCAATGAGCGAAGCAATCACATATATCTGATATCAACTCAAAACTGACCTGACCGCCTCCGTGGTCTAATGGTAGAGCGTCCGCCCGGAGAGTGGAAGGTCCGGGGTTCGATCCCCGACCGCGTCATACCAAAAGACGTTAAAAGATGGTACTTGTTGTTACCCTGTCTGGCGCTCGGCATTAAGGGGCTAAAACAAGGACTGGTCGGCTCGGAGTCAGTATACTGTGTCTGAGTGGGGTATTCATGTTAAACTGCGGCATGGTATCTCAGTGAGCTAGCATTATAAATCGGCATCAGTCCGGAATAGTACAAGCAGCCACACACACACACACACACACACACACACACACACGTGCATGCACGTCGCTATAATAGTGCAATAATCTTGGACGCGACGTTAAACCCCATTTCACCTCACCTCACCTCAAAACTGACCTGAAATTAATATACTGTGTACATTCGAAAACGTGTTGGTGACGTACAGAAACGTACGTTACTTTGAAAACAACCGCATCTGCCATTTTTCACTCACGTCATCTAGGGTGTAGACGCTAAATGTTGCAGTTGTACTATCATAATTCATATATACGTAAGTGTGGATTGAGGAATTTAAACATGCATGGGCATCCCTGTGAACTGTCCCACAATTTTCAATCTACTTACACTGCACGAGATCTTCCTTGTAACTTTCATCGGGGGAGAACGTGGCGTTGGCATTTTGAGTAATTGTGGCATTCTCAATGGCATTCTTCACATCGTCGACCCACAGATTTGCTTTGTCTGCGTCAGGTGTATAAACATCCCTAGCAGTGAAGGTGGCGTTTAAGTTCTTCCTTGTTTTAGGTCTGCAATATATCATCTATGCATTGGATATTTTGTCAATCGTATTGATCCTGGAAAGGATGTTATTTAACTTATCATACTAGTAACAATTCAACACTTACTAAATGTTTCAATATGGTTAGGCAGTTTTATAAGTAGTTTTATAAGGCTCAACTTTTCATAAATTAAAAAAAAGGTGATTTGAAATACTGTTTTTTAATCCTTTCTCAGAAACACACTTCGGGTTAGTGATTAGACGTTAAGATCACTTATTCACTCACCATGATAGGGAAGTACTTCAGTTCATGAAGCGCATAAGGAAGACTTCTAGCATAGAATATAAGACGAATATATCGTCTGTATGACGTACATTACGCGTTGAAGCGAAAGTGGCGTAGTTATTAATAATGAACTATTTACCACTCGAGTTTTTTTTTTTCAGTTCGTACCATTCACACTATACTTATCACACCAAATCGAAATGTGTTATATATATTGTATGCAATGTCATAGTATGCCGAAAATGAATAACTCCCACCCACCAACCTCCATCAATCTTCAACCCTCGTATACTCACCCTGTGTCTCGCTTCCGCCTAACGGTCTTTCTGCAAGATAACGGACGTACAAAGTGAGGGTGATGACAATCAACAGCGTACAACTAATTTTATTCATGGATTGAACCGCCTCCGAGGTGTTGTGGATGGAGCGTCACCGAGTGCGGAAGGTTCGATCCCCGGCCGCGTCATACCAAGAAAGACGTTAAAAGATTGTACTTGTTGTTACCCTGCCTGAGAAGCACAAGACCACGCACATACGTGCGCATGTTTTCATCTCACCTTATTAAGCTGTGTTTGAATCTTGTATAGACTCCCTGATAATATGTATAATGGCTTTGCAATATGTCCCAAACGCAATTAAGAATTTCATTACAGAGGTAAGAATATATATTTATACGTACATGGTTGTAGTATCAAGCCTCAATTCGTAGAAACCTTTCACTTCCTTAAAGTACGTTCTGAACTGAAATTGGAAATATGAATAGTTATGTTGATTAAAAAACTATTGCAACATATTCTTTGAGTGGAGATTTAAGAATTGAATTGCGCCAAGGACGGAGGTGTTGGGTGTGGGAGCGGTGTGTGTGTTTTTGTGTGTGTGTGTGTGTGTGTGTTGGGGGGGGGGGGGGGGGGGGAGGGGGGTGGTCATGGCAGTAGTCCAAGGCACCGCAATTCGCTGCATCCCTTCGGCAAGGTAGGAGGTTTGTGTTTCACGGTTTGTCAGCATCATACACCCAAGTCTGCAACCTGCATCACTTCGGGCTTTCCTCCCACATTAAGCCGACACGCCGCGATATAACTTGAATACTGTTCGAGGCGGCATTAAACCCAACTCACTCACTCACTTTGTTGGGGACGAGTTGTTGCTGTCCACGTATTTGTTCATGGTGTTTTCCTCCATGACGGTGTGTTGATGCAATGACAAGGTATTGTTTGTTCCGTTGGCAGACAGTGAAACCTTTGATCAATGACCAATATGTGTTCAGTTGTGATGCTGTTTCAGTGGAACGTGTTCTATTATTCTCACGCATACCGAACCCTAGATAAGATTTAAGTTTCATACCACTTCTACCCAAGTAGGGTGAATTTACGCATTGTGATATGAAATAAAACCTGTTTGAATTTGTGTTATAATATTTTCTTTCTTTTATTTGTTCCTTGTTTACAATTGTATAGCCAAAAGGTGGTAATCCGACTAGTGGTGTCTCTCGCTTTCATGAGATTCCTTCAGTTCTGCCTTGAAGTTGCAAAAATTCTGACGTCTCTCAATTTTTTTTAATGAATAAAAAAAAATAGTTCCAGTGTCACAGGTCACGGTTATACAATCAAAACTAATATATCGAGGTCAACCTCGTACGACACACGTATGACGTACAGATTTAATATCTTACCACACGTCTCGTCGCCATGTGGGTAAAACATTCTTATACGTCATGTGTTCTTGTGCTACCTACCACGGCAAGGATGGTGAATATACTCTCTTGTGCTGTGCTCTCATCTCCATCTATAATAACTGTGAAGTGAAACGCGTACAACGCACCATCTGAAACATACGTGCAGGATACATTCATACATACATCAATTAGAGCGGCAAGAATAGCTGATGGTATAAATGCATTGTCCATTCTGATATGAAACATCTTTGAGAAAATCATGATTTTAACTGAAATGCTTTTCCCCAGATGTAACCATCCAATAAAAGAACTAACAATACAATCACGGAAGGGTAGATCTGTTCCTATACGACCTAGCTATAGAATAGTGGGGTACCCTTTATTACACAATGGCACCCCAAATGAAGTACAGTCAAGTCCCGTTAATCTGGTTGGTTGCATATGATTATGTCGGATAAACGAGTATGTCGGCTAAACGAGATTAGGTGGTATCAACGAAATTAAGTAGTGTCAACGTTCGTGATCGAAAATGGGACAACTGCACGATAGATAACGATACGAACAAGTTGTAATAAAAACCTTTGTTATGCACTTACCCAGAGAAGGTGTTTTGACGGGAAAAGATGTTGAAGCAACAGGAGCCAGTGTTGTTGGAACTGTCGTGTTGTTGTCTGTTGTAGACCCGCCTGCCGTACTGCCAGTTGCACTGTCTGGTGTAGACCCGCCTGCCGTACTGCCAGTTGCACTGTCTGGTGTAGACCCGCCTGCCGTACTGCCAGTTGCACTGTCTGTTGTAGACCCGCCTGCCGTACTGCCAGTTGCACTGTCTGTTGTAGACCCGCCTGCCGTACTGCCAGTTGCACTGTCTGGTGTAGACCCGCCTGCCGTACTGCCAGTTGCACTGTCTGTTGTAGACCCGCCTGCCGTACTGCCAGTTGCACTGTCTGTTGTAGACCCGCCTGCCGTACTGCCAGTTGCACTGTCTGGTGTAGACCCGCCTGCCGTACTGCCAGTTGCACTGTCTGTTGTAGACCCGCCTGCCGTACTGCCAGTTGCACTGTCTGTTGTAGACCCGCCTGCCGTACTGCCAGTTGCACTTTCTGGTGTAGACCCGCCTGCCGTACTGCCAGTTGCACTGTCTGTTGTAGACCCGCCTGCCGTACTGCCAGTTGCACTGTCTGTTGTAGACCCGCCTGCCGTACTGCCAGTTGCACTGTCTGTTGTAGACCCGCCTGCCGTACTGCCAGTTGCACTGTCTGTTGTAGACCCGCCTGCCGTACTGCCAGTTGCACTGTCTGTTGTAGACCCGCCTGCCGTACTGCCAGTTGCACTGTCTGTTGTAGACCCGCCTGCCGTACTGCCAGTTGCACTGTCTGGTGTAGACCCGCCTGCCGAAATGCCAGTTGCACTGTCTGGTGTAGACCCGCCTGCCGTACTGCCAGTTGCACTGTCTGTTGTAGACCCGCCAGTCGTACTGCTAGTTGCACTGTCTGTTGTAGACCCGCCAGTTGCACTGTCTGTTGTAGACCCGCCAGTTGCACTGTCTGTTGTAGACCCGCCAGTCGTACTGCCAGTAGCATTGTCTGTTGTAGACCCGCCAGTCGTACTGTCAGTTGCACTGTCTGTTGTAGACCCGCCTGCCGTACTGCCAGTTGCACTGTCTGTTGTAGACCCGCCTGCCGTACTGCCAGTTGCACTGTCTGTTGTAGACCCGCCAGTCGTACTGTCAGTTGCACTGTCTGTTGTAGACCCGCCTGCCGTACTGCCAGTTGCACTGTCTGTTGTAGACCCGCCAGTCGTACTGCTAGTTGCACTGTCTGTTGTAGACCCGCCAGTTGCACTGTCTGTTGTAGACCCGCCAGTCGTACTGCCAGTAGCATTGTCTGTTGTAGACCCGCCAGTCGTACTGTCAGTTGCACTGTCTGTTGTAGACCCGCTTACCGAGACTGATGTACTGGATGAAGCTAAAATGAAAAGATGTGCATATTTTAGCCAAATTACTCTTTCGCGTCCTGTGCCATAAATGACGAGCTTGTCATCATTATTCGTTCTGCAAGTATTGTCTTATCATATCATTCACACGTTCAGATAGACCGCCTCCGTGGTCTAGTGGTAGAGCGTCCGCCCGGAGAGCGGAAGGTCCGGGGTTCGATCCCCGACCGCGTCATACCAAAAGACGTTAAAAGATGGTACTTGTTGTTACCCTGTCTGGCGCTCGGCATTAAGGGGCTAAAACAATGACTGGTCGGCTCGGAGTCAGTATACTGTGTCTGAGTGGGGTATTCATGTTAAACTGCGGCATGGTATCTCAGTGAGCTAGCACTATAAATCGGCATCAGTCCGGACTAGTACAAGCAGCCACACACACACACACACACGTGCATGCACGTCGCTATATAAGTGCAATAATCTTGGACGCGACGTTAAACCCCATTTCACCTCACCTCACACGTTCAGATACATTTGAACGAAAGAACTCAATGTTCTGATCTGATTGGTCACTGAGAGGCTTTAAATTACAATACCTTGTTCGTGTGCATTCATACATCTCATACAGGGCCCACTTGCACAAAGCGATCTTAGCGCTACGACTGTCGTAAGTCTAAGTTAAAGTATAAAAGTTACGATCCTCTTAGCGCTAAGATCGCTTTGAACAACTGGGCCCTGGTTTGCAGGTTTTAATATGCCGAGTTTTGGGTTTCGAGAAATGTAAATGTAGAATTTTTGGGTAGAACACAAAATAAAACGACTAAGAGGAATGTGTTACAAATTTAAAGGACACCAGAGAGCTTGGCATTTTCGCTTTTTCTGTCAAGGACGATGAGATGTCTGCCTGAAGAAGACCGTGAGGCCTTGAACAAAACCATGCAATATTTGCTTCATTTTCTTGAGGTGTCCACTGCGCGTTCCAAATATAATTTACAAAATTAACATTTCATTGAATAAACAGTTCTCTCCTAACTAACTTACCATATGATGAGTGGATATGTGCGGATATCATCAAGAGCGCATAAAATATATGTCGGGAAGTCCCCATCTTGGTACCTGAAAAATGAGTGATAGCTACATGCAATGTGCTGTTGAAAACACACGTTACCCTCGACATTAAGGGGCTAAAACAAGGATTGGTCGGCTCGGAGTCGGAGTATACTGTGTCTAAGTGGGGTATTCATGTTAAACTGCGGCATTGTATCTCAGTGAGCTAGAACTATACAATTTTAGAACAAGCACATGCACATGCATGCAAAAATCTTGAACGCGACGTTAAACCCCATTTCAACTCACCTTTTGTAGGACAATAATTTCAGTAATTAAAAGGCAGAAATTCTGCTGGTGTACATGTGTTCTCATGCAGAACGTAATAATTATAGGAATAATAAGGTGGCATCCAGGTTGCATAAGGCACTCACTCACTCACTCTAGTATTGTTTGTTTGTTGATTCCAGCTATATGACGGCGGTCTGTAAATAATCGAGTCTGGACCAGACAATCCAATGACTAATATCATGAGCATGGATCTACGCAATTGGGATACGATGACATGCATCAACCAAGTCGGCGAGCTTGACCACCTGATCCCGTTAGTCGCCTCTTTCGACAAGCAGAGTCCCCTTTTGGTTCTCTTGTAGAATACTCTGTGTACATTGCTTATAAGCTGGAAAAGTGAGTAGTGTGTTACCTTGTGAAACATATTAGTGAGTGAGTTGGGTTTAACTCCGCTTTTAACAGTGTTCCAGTTATATCGCGGCGTGTCAGCTTAATGTGGGAGGAAAGCCCGAAGTGATGCAGGTGACGGACGTTTACCACTTCGGTGAAACCCACCAGCACGAGTATGGTGCTGACAAACCTAGAAACAAATTCGGGGCGAACCGGGATTCGAACCCACAATCATAGGTTACTGGCGCGTCCAACGGACGCAACTCTGCACAGCGAATCACGGCGCCTTAGACGACTGGGCCAACCGTGCCCCCGTGAAAATATTAAACGTCGATATGCTTTAAAGACAGGTACTGGCACTAAGTTATTTTTATTGCACTATCAATCAGATATATTTTCGCAATCGGACATTCGACCAGCTCTCCTCTTAACTCTCATATGTGTATGACATCATCGTATCCTTGTTGCACATAGCAACCACTTGACAACGCCTGTAAGTAAATCTGGCTCAAGAACCGTCTGCCATGGACATTTAAATGACTGCTATGTTCCAAGTGCACTTTACTGTGATCGATCGGTGTGTTAAGTCTTAAAACAGAGTTACGTGTTATCACATACATGATATATACTGAGCAAAAGAAGTGAGGGATCATGAATATTTTTGGGGAGACTTTTATGAAAACATGTGCTCAGTCTGCACCACAAAGAATAAAAACTGACCACGAATAAAGACCACTCTACAATATTATATTGCAACATATGATGAGATAGTTAAGCTTTATATAGGTCCTCGTGTTTTCCAACAAGTGTTTACACATAACTCAAAGCCAGTCATCTGTGCGTCTTTGGGAAGCCATAAATCCCAACCTGACATTATCCACCAAACACAAGTACACAAAAAAGCTGCTAAGAGTTTAGTAGGATTGTAAGACATAAATTCACCCGGATTTCCACAAGGTTCTTGGATACCTTAGTGATTGAACGAACAACCCTTATAACCATTCTCCGAATCGTGTACTACCCACGTCATCAGCGTGTGAGAGATTGGTTGATCATATCTGTATTTATGTAGTGTAGGGCTACATCCACGTGTCACAAAGCTAAGCACCTCGTTCAAAATTCAGGGGCGGTCGGGTAGCCTAGTGGTTAAAGCGTTCGCTCGTCACGCCGAAGACCCGGGTTCGATTCCCGACATGGGTACAATGTGTGAAGCCCATTTCTGGTGTCCCCCGCCGTGATATTGCTGGAATATTGCTAAAAGCGGCGTAAAACCATACTCACTCACACTGTACACTCACACTCACTCAAAATTCAGAATTGTAAACGCCCCGAGATAACCTGCAGATCTGATCGGTATGGTGGTCTAACAGACGTCATATACCACTTCGATATATGGCTCCAAATTTCTTTGATGTGGCGAAAAAATCAACCGCTACACTGCCTTAACTATTGAACCTTTTTACTGACAGGTGACATTAATAAAAAGTGGGATTTGCAGCAATCATCAGCTCATCTGGACAAATTGCAAATATTGAAAGATTTACCCCGTTTTGGTCATCCGTCAATAACCTGAGACCAAAACCATTCCTTATTTGGAAGTGACCTCGACCTTCACTGATAATTAGTGATACAGGAAGGGCATCCACGTGAACGCATACGATAACAGTTGTATCATTATAACAATTCTAAAAGCTTGGTTCATTTTTTAAATAAAACTTATCTCATTAGCCAATTGGGTTTTTGTCCTACCGTGTCCTTTGTCATGCCAAATCGTTTTAATGCTGTTTCTATGCATGTGACGTAGATGAGATTATGGATGTCCCTTAGAGTTGATGATTTAATTTACATGCAACGCACGCTTTGGTCGCATAATCAATCCTGTTTTGAAGTCTATAGGTTAAACAGTCTGAATATGTATGTAGGTTGTATCATCTACTTTATGTTCTATACAGTACATAATGATTTCTCGTGCACAAAGTCGCAGCAGAACGTCAACGGTAACATTGTAGCTGGAAGGTGAAGGTCAATGAGTCACAGGTACACAGATTCACGTGGGTACCATGGGCATCTTATAAAACCATGGGGCGGTCGGGTAGCCTAGTGGTTAAAGCGTTCGCTCGTCACGCCGAAGACCTGGGTTTGATTCCCGACATGGGTACATTTCTGGGTACACATGGGTACAAGCCCATTTCTGGTGTCCCCCGCCATGATATTGCTGGAATATTGCTAAAAGCGGCGTAAAATCAAACTCACTCCCTATAAAACAATGACACATTGAGAGATTTGGCATATGGTTATGAATGTTGAAGTTTGGGATTGTTTGTTTGTTTGTTGTTTAACGCCGCACTCAGCAATATTCCAGCTATATGACGGCGGTCTGTAAATAATCAAGTCTGGACCAGACAATCCAGTGATTGACATCATGAGCATCGATCAACGCAATTGGGATACGATGACATGTATCAACCAAGTCAGCGAGCCTGGCCACCCGATCCCGTCGGTCGCCTCTGACGACAAACATGGGTCGCTGAAGACCTATTCTACCCCGAATCTTCACGGGTCAGTTTGGGATTGATACCTACATCAATAAAATGACTGTATCGGAAACCATTATGTTGTTCAAAATGTTTTTGAAAATGTTTATTAATTCATTTGAATGTCGTTTTAATGGATGTATGTATAGCAGGTGTCTAATGTTATATAAAAAAATATGAATATTTACAGTCATTCCAACCACACAAGGAAGAGACACGCATATTGTATCAAATATCCTGCTAAGCTCAGTGACAGCTAATCCCAAACGTATATACACATATAGGCTGTAATGTCAACACAAATCGTGATTCAATACCAAATACAGATTTGTGTGGTTAGTCGCGATCACGTTCTCCTCACAGAGAGTTCGGGAGAGGTCACGTGATCATGTATTGACGCAGGGGGATGCACGTCATGCCGGATGTCAGCCGGTGGGTGTACAGTTACCCCATATGTCTGTGTGGGGCGTGAGGTTATGTTCCAACAGTTACTGTTTTATGAATGGTTACACGAAAACATTATAGCTACTATGGATATCATTGAAGATCCTACTTTGACCCGAAATGTAAATTTATTTCTGTGAGTGTTCGCTCAAAGGGTGTCGTTAAGTTGCCAGAAAATGTGAGAAGCCCATTGCTGGTATTGATCTCGGTGATATTGCTGGAATATTGCTTAAATCGGTACACTCACTCACTCACTCACTCACTCACTCACTCACTCACTCATTAATATCCTTCTCAATGAGTGACAAGTGAATTTATTGTTTTTGAGAAATCTGTAAGGACTATGTTTAGAGCAAATATAGATGTGATAAGACAGCGGTATGACCCATACCTGTTTGTGCGTCGTGTTATCGGGTCGTGTCTGACAGTTCGACGTGGACAATTTATACATAGATGTCAAATCGTCTTAACATCCTAGCTGCAATTGTAAGGCGTGGCCACATTCTAATGCGTAGTACAATATATCTAGCAACCAAAGCGCGTTATAGATAACAGCACCATACAGGACATACCTATCAATGATGTAGACCTCTAAGATTAGAAATGATTAGGTACCTCGACACATCCATCACACTGTGCAGTAGTACGTCAGACATAACCAACATCTAGGTAGATGGTGGGTAGATCTACGGTGACAAAATTACCCCTATACTAAGACACATATATCTAGGGGTGACAATAATTACCGCTTCACAAAGGCGCATATATCTAGGAATGACGATAATTACCTCTTCACAAAAACGCATATATCAAGGGGGGACAATAATTCCCCATTCACAAAGGCGCATATATCTGGGGGTGACATAATTACCTCTTCACAAAAACGTATATGAAGGAGTGACAATAATTACCTCTTCACAAAGGCGCATATATCTAGGTGTGACAATAATTACCCCGATACTAAGACGCTTATATCTAGGGATGACAATAATTACCGCTTCACAAAGGCGCATCTATCTAGGGATGACAATAATTACCTCTTCACAAAGACACACATATCTAGGGATGACAATAATGACCTCTTCACAAAGATGCATATATCTAGGGATGACAATAATAACCTCTTCACAAAGACACATATATCTAGGGATGACAATAATTACCGATTCACAAAGGCGCATATATTTAGGTGTGACAATAATTACCCCGATACTAAGACGCTTATATCTAGGGATGACAATAATTACCTCTTCACAAAGACGCACATATCTAGGGATGACAGTAATTACCTCTTCACAAAGACGCATATATATATGGATGACAATAATAACCTCATCACAAAGACACATATATCTAGGGATGACAATAATTACCGATTCACAAAGGCGCATATATCTAGGTGTGACAATAATTACCCCGATACTAAGACGCATATATCTAGGGATGACAATAATTACCTCTTCACAAAGACGCACATATCTAGGGGTGACAATAATGACCTCTTCACAAAGACGCATATATCTATGGATGACAATAATAACCTCTTCACAAAGACACATATATCTAGGGATGACAATAATTACCGATTCACAAAGGCGCATATATATATGGATGACAATAATAACCTCTTCACAAAGACACATATATCTAGGGATGACAATAATTACCGATTCACAAAGGCGCATATATCTAGGTGTGACAATAATTACCCCGATACTAAGACACATATATCTAGGGATGACAATAATTACCTCTTCACAAAGACACATATATCTAGGGATGACAATAATAACCTCTTTACAAAGACGCATATATCTAGGGATGGCAATTATTACCGCTTCACAAAGACGCATATATCCAGGGGTGACAATAGTTTCCCCGATACTAAGACGCATATATCTAGGGATGACAATTAGGATGAATTATAGATAAGTGAAGAGACTGACACATAGACAGATGCAGGATGAATGAATGAAGTTGAATGAAGTTGCATGAAGGAACGAAGGTATGACGTTTTACGCCACTTTTAGCAATACCAAGAATTAGCTGTCCACATAGTACCCATCTGTGACGAGCAAATATATATATATATATATATATATATATATATATATATATATATATATATAATCAACACCAGAGAACAATCGGTCTCCGTTGTCTGCCGAAACAGATTCCATTGGGCGTGAAAAGCAAAAGTGACATGGTAATTGTATGAATGGATCACTGAAAATAAATGAGGACATCAGGTGTTCGCGAAAAGGGTAAGCATGTCCTGATCTATCGGTCGCAACCTCACTCACACAATTTGCATAAAAAAGTTAGTGTTTGTTGCCTAAACTCATGGCAACACCACAACGCCCAACAGATGGACAGACAGGTATACGGACATATCCAGTGGTGTGATTTTCCACAATGTCATGTAAAACAGTGGATAGGAACATTAAGCTATTTCCATAGGCGGAGTACAAACAGGGAACGATGTAACTGCGAAATATAGACAGCCATACGAACAGACACAAATATAGATAAACCGATTGACAATAAAACAGATATATAAGAGTATTGGTTTAAAACAGTTTTGTGATGACACGTCTAGACATAATACACCGTGTTCTGTATGATATAGTCGGAATCGTACAAAACTTTCAGCAGAGATTTATATTATTACGGAAAGGGTGTTGAGGCTTTTATTTATTATTATTAATCAGTTTCCTTGATCAATTCTTTCTTTAAGACTCTTAGTCAGGAGTATGGCCTTCAGATTATATAACTTTCCTTGTTTGTGACAGTGGACAAACAAAACTCGCAAAAGGACTAATAGTAACTGATCGATAAGAGAAACACACTGTAAGTATATCTGCGATAAGCTAAACAAATATTTCCTCCATAAATGATTGATTAAAATATCGCATTGCTGTTATAATTAAATAGGATGTTATATACGCCAGTGAAACGATATTTCAGTATCTGGATTTTTTTATTTCAGTCGGAGTTTCCTTAACATGGGAAAAATAAAGTCAAACTAAACACAGGTAAAAAAATAATTAATAAAAGTCTTTACCTCACAATGGCGAAATACACCTCCTGATAGTTCCCTCGGATATACGAATGTACTGAGGCAGGTAAAGCCCGACACGTTGCTATCTATATCCGCTAGGCGCGACACTGATCGTGAACACACCTGATCTCACATATACCCCGGGTTTTATGGGTAAGTGGAACCCCACCCGTACGTGCCTACAGTTTGACCTCGATTAACCGGCTTTTATGTATTCTGTGTACTCACCAGTCCTTATCAGCCCCAAACAGTTTATGACGTAGTAACAATCTTGCCAGGTCAATAAATAATAAAACATGAGGCATTGCTCAATCTTTGGTATGTTTACTGGTAAAACGCAATGAGTAGTAATTCTTAAGAAATACATCGACAAATTGAGCTTTGGGGAGGATAAGTGATTATGCGTGGCCATTACTGTGACATATGGGGACATGTTGGAGAGTACATTGGTCGTTTAGGTTTGGTTGGACGATAACTAATTACGTTCTGTTGTCATACTTTGTTATGTGATATTTCCTTCACATGGGAGTGTCAGCACTGGGTCGTCATGTGGATAGTCGATACGACCCAGAAATGAGTTGGGTCAGCAGCTGTGTTTGGCTGGCCCATCTGCTGTGTCATATGTAGTACAGTGTGGTCGAAGGCTTCCATGTGTAATGTTCTATCCTTTCTGTAAGCTCTTTAAGTTGACTTTTTATTTAGCGTGACTGTTCAATCATTTTGCACTATGAAAGAAATAGAGAAGTATGTTAATGGACCTTTTTGGCCTACATACTTCGAATCAGATGTGTTTAATTATATGATATTGGAGAATAAGAGATAAATAATAGTAATAATAATAGTAATAATAATAATAATAATAATAATAATAATAATAATAATAATAATAATAATGATAATGATAAGGATAAAAATAATGTCCAAGACTCATGGTGAAAAGAAGGCATTCCACAGTTTTCGTAAACACGCCAAGGATGTGGGACATTATATCAATGTCAGTGTTGATTTTGTTGATGGTTCTGTACAGATGGACGGTACAGAAATGAGTGTCAACCAAGCGAAGTGCCATATCAAATCGACCCAGACTCAATTTTTCAAGGAGAGGCTATCTGAACGACCACTGGATCGAGTTTATGTGCAGTGTGTTGATAGGGTCAGCAACCCTGCAGAGTTGGTTGGCAGGAAAGTGAAACAGAAGGCTTTCAGTGTGCTGCTCAGGACCAGTCACTTCCCACTCGAAGCCGTCAGTGTGTGATTTTGCATCAAAATGTAATTAAATATGAAATGTAGATTATGTAATGAATTTAATGAGACTGTCCAAAACATTGTCAGTGGATGCCCAGCTTTGGCACAAACACAGTATCTTAAGCGACATGATGGAATGGCTCGATCATTTTATTACCGTCTTCGCCATGCTTGTGGTTTTGTCACAGAGGTCCATCCATGGTACGACCCGGAATATGTAGAGGGCGTCCTGGAAAATGATAAATACAAAATAATGTATAAAAGAGTTTCTTAAATATAATATATATATCTATATATATATCTATCTATATCTATATATATATATATATATCTATCTATATCTATATATATCTATATATATATCTATATATCTATATATATCTATATATCTATATATATATATCTCTCTCTCTCTCTCTCTCTCTCTCTCTCTATATATATATATATATATATATAAACCTTCAGACATTACTGTGATAGTGTTCGTATGAAGAAGTACTCTGTTTGAGTTATGACAACACTAAACACATAAGTAAGCATAAAATGTGTCATAAAGCTTATCTTTGAGGCTTTCGGGAAGGTATTTTGTAACATGAGCAAGTCTTTGAACAAGGCTGATGTTCATACTAATTGAAGATTAAAAGATATGGTAAATAATTCATCTTCGGTCACGAAGCTGCTCATACACAGATTTTAATCTGAAGATTGAAAGATTGGTCCTTTCATTCATTTTAGCCATACGTAAGACCCAAAGTCCAAACTTTCAAGTATAAGAAATAAATAAGCTTACTGTGAACATTTGAACATTTCTGATAATTTTCAAACCAAAAGTTTTCCCCAAACGTTTAACTCGACATTTCCAGTGTGCAAAACACGGCCCTCAGAATTCGACGTTCTTGTACCTCGTCCTTGACAAGCTTTAACTTATTGACATTATTACGAAGTTTGCAAATGAATCACATATTCCTCCTATATGAGCTTGTACTTAAAAATTTCAGTCATGGATTACGTTTCTCGTTAGTCAAGTGCTGCGTGACAGCTGGTAGATATGTTTACCGCTACTTCTGGGTAACGCTCACACGTATTACTCTTAAAATTCAACATGGAGCAGATAACCGATAGATGGCGCGATTACCTGACTGACACTGTAATCCTGTATACAAAGGCAGTGTGTACTGACCTTCAACTCTCTGCAAGCTAGAGAAACTATCTTTGTGCTAGATGTTATAACTACTGCCAGTATCAAAATCAAATGAAATATCTACAACTATTTTGAGTATAAATTATTAAAATGGCCGTTTTTATGAGATAAAGAAGAGGTCAGGTATTTCAATATAGGACAGAAGCACGACTCCTTTCAAGTAGTGAGAACTCTCATTACTGACGTCGATTCGTCAATACAATGTCAGATTATTAATAACGTATATATCGACTTCCCCTTTCAGGGCCATTCGAAATTCATAAGAAATCTCTGCGGAAAGAAGGTCGACTGCAAGCCTCCAATCACATCACACCATAAGCAAGAGTCCACGAATCAGTATCAAACGGCGACCACCACAGGTGCTAGAAGTTCAACGCCAGAGAATAACCAGTCTCCGTTATCTACCGTAACAGATAACAATTGGTTCGTAAAAGGAAAGATATTGGTGAAAATATGAATGAATCACTGAAAATCAGTGATGACACCAGGTGTTCGCGAAAAGGGTGAGCATGCCCTGCCCTACCGGTAGCACCGCCAGTCTCACAATTTACATTAAAATATGTAGTTGTTTGTTGCCTAACGCCGCACAGTCTTGAAGCATTGACCAAATATTAAATCCACCGCCCACCACCACCCTCAACCCCTCCTGGAATATTGTTTTGTATGACCCTGACAGCCAACTGGTGTTGCAGGAATTCCAGGTAAAGTAAATATTAATGCACATTTACAATGTTTATATTTGAGAAATAAGTACACCTCTATCAACGAAGAGTCAGGTATTGAACAAGTTATTATGATAAATAAATAACTGCCATCTTGGGGAAACATTGTTTGATATTTATTTTTAAGTTGGCATGATTTTGAGCAAGACGGAAGTTCAAAATAATAGTGATAGGGTCTTGCTGTTTAATACAAACTAACTCGCACTCATGTTTTACGACTGCTTAAAGTCTTTCCTCCCGTTGATTGGCGTGTATAGGTCATCGTTCATGTGTTAATGCTCACCGTGATGGGTTTTACGATTTAACTAGTCATGCTTTTATCTTAGTCACACCCAGTTGTTGATACCGAGCAAAGACAATAAATACCTTTGGAACACTATCAGCGAACACTGCAGTCGAAGGAAGGTGTGTTCGTGTACGTCAGTTGACAATGTAATGGAAGTATTATGTTACTACATTAGGCTTCCTTATGCATTTCTGCATAAGTGTCTGAATCAATGAGACAAAAATCTGACTTCCTTGTTGGAAGTTTATTTGACGTTAGTTTGACTTTTGTCGGACGTTGGTTTAACGTTAGTTTGACGTTTGGTGGACGTCTTTGACCTTTGTTTGACCTTAGTGTGACGTTAGTTTGACGTTCGTTTGACGTTAGTTTGGCGTTAGTTTGACGTTCGTACATGCATGTTCTTTTTTCTAGTGAAGCCTGTAAATAGACACCAAATATGAATTCCCAGATATGACAAGAAAACATTGTTAATAGTTATGGTTATTCTAGATGAACATTTTATACTAAACGCTCCAACTTGATAAGCGTGTCTTTGTTAATGGCTCAACATGATACCATTCATGACTACATGTATGTGTTCCGTGATAGATTTAACAAACCAGCCGATGGCACACCATAAATTCGTAATTATTATACCAGACATATTTTCTTTTACGTAACACTTTAACTTGATATGATGAGTCTTTATTAACGACTGAAAAGGATTTCAAATTATTCAACTATATATTCCCTGATAAATTTACCAAAACCGTCGACAGCACAGCACAAATTCGACTCAGGTCACGCATACCCACCATTTAGCTAATAGGGGAGTTGGGTAACCTTGTGGTTAAAGGGCCAAGTTTGGTTATCTAAAATGGCACGTGCGAAGAACGCCCCTCTATGCCAAACGTGGCGTAAAAAACAACACTCACTCACACACTCACAAAATCACCCACTCACACACCCACACACTATCAGGTCTTTTTAAAGTTTTTAGGACATTTTGATTACATTCATAACTGACAAAGACATTTGCATAGGTTTCTGAGTAATTTTAAACAGATGGAAGATAGAAGCTATTCATATTTCGATATTGATAAAACAGTCACATGAACATGTCCTATGAACTCATTCAAATCACAGTTTAAACTAGTATGTTTCACCTGGGGTATCTGTCACATTCACTGCGCCTATCAATATCATGTAGTCTTATGACGATTTCCATGTATAGTTTCAATTTACCCATATATTGGTATCCGCGCCTCAGAGCCTCACGTGTACCGAATTCACGAACCTCACACGATGTTAACAGTGTTTTAATATCAGAATGTTAAGTTGAATGTTAACAGTGTTTTAATATTAGAATGTTAAGTTGAATGTTAACAGTGTCTTAATATTGGAATGTTCAGTTGAATGTTAACAGTGTTTTAATATCAGAATGTTAAGTTGAATGTTAACAGTGTCTTAATATTGGAATTTTCAGTTGAATGTTAACAGTGTCTTAATATTGGAATGTTCAGTTGAATGTTAACAGTGTTTTATTATTAGAATGTTAAGTTGAATGTTAACAATGTTTTAATATTAGAATGTTAAGTTGAATGTTGAATGTCATTTTATATCAGATAAAGTGAAATATGTCTCTGCGCTCGGAGCTTGTTGTCATAACATTTTCAGACAGTGTTGTTTGGATTCGGTCAAAATGCCTTACTCTGCCGCTGGTCACATTAGGCCTATACACAGAACGCTAGCGAGCCAACTTTATTGGAATAACTGCCCACAACGTGAAACCCAGCTGCTGGTGTGTCATCGTTCCAGGCAACGTGG